CATTTTGTTAAATAGTCTGCTACTTTGTTGACTTCTCTAAGATAGTGAGTGATATTAACATCATTCTTATTAATTTCGAACGATGATTTCTTCCAGAAAAATAATATTTAACCCCCTTTAAAAAGTTAAAACTCCTAAGCTTAATTAACAAATAACTATTGAAAATCTTACAAGAGAGGAACTAAAAAACTTTCATAGGGATAATTAGAAATTGACATTTTTTTAATATCTAGACAAGCTAGGCGAGACAAATGAATTGCTTAGTTTACTGGCCCGAAATCGTGCAAATTAATTTTAAAAAACTTATTATACATAGCCCTATTAGTTACATAGTGAAATACTTGCTTTGAATTTGTGATAGAAGAATTTCCTAACAATAATTGGATATTTAAAGATAGTTTCGGTTACCATTATAAGTTCATATTTTTTCAAAAAATCTTTCATTAGATTCAAAAACACGTAGAAAATAAGAGAAAATTCTACAAATGAAACTTTAATTCTTCATATTATCTATGAAACATAGAGTGCTTATCAATTCATTTGTCTAAATTCAAAATTGTAGAACTATAAGAAACTCTTAACAAATCAATTATTTAAATCAATCAAATTATAATAATTATTTTTCTAACTCATTTTCCATAAGGTTCGTACTTGTATAAGCTTGTCATCCTTAAAAAATATCTGAGAAACACTTCAAACATGTTAGTTGCTTCTAAATAAAGCTCCAATTAACATTTTATAGAAGAAAAAAAACTAGTAGAATGATCGAAAAATAACCTATATATAGTTTTGATGGAAGAGACTTACTCTTCTACAACAAAATAAAAGATAAAATAACAACGATATCAAAGCTAAGGATTTTTTGGGCAATAGCCATTGAACTTATTTAGTACAACAACAAAAGAAAAGATCAAATAACAATCATAATAAAGCAATTAGTCCATTTTTCAGGCAAGAACTATATCTATATATTTTAAAGGGTTTTCAATGTCACCTCCACCACCATGTTTCACAAATTCAGCGGGGCTTAGAAAACTAGCATAACAACTACAAACTATCTTCAGATCTTCTCTCCTCACAGACGAGTATAATAAGTATCCTTTAGTCTTCTTTCCATTTGGTGAGTAATAAACAACACAAGGCATGTTGTGCAAGAAGTACCTCAGCTTTTCTCTGAATTCTTGAGCACTTTCCCCTGACATCACCCGTGATTTCTCATTAGTAATTTTGAGAATCTAATCGTTACCATTTTTCGTAAACTTACACTTATTTTTTAATTCAAGTAAATTAAAAGTGTTTTAATGACAAAATAAAAAGGAAGAAATATTTTATACATTGATTAGGTGGTTGTTGGGTTTCACGATCAGTCAAACTTGAAGCAACACTTCTTTGTGATCCACTTGATTCACCTGAAAACAACAAAGAATAATTTTCATTAGCTATTAACGATGAATGATTCAATATCATAAATTTCATAGATCTAAACTCTCAAATTACCGTTCAATAAACACGCTACATTTAGATCAACATTCCTCATGTTTTCTCTATTTTCTTCTATTTTCTCCATATTAGCAAAATCTAAAAATCGATAGAGTTATTGAATTTCAAACTAAAAAATTATCAAATGGACATAGAAATCTCAATGAAAGTTTCAGGGTGGAAAAATCATTAGGCCATTTAGAATATTATAGATTAAAGAGAAAATTTGAGGGTGTGAAGGTACAAAACATGTGAAGGAATATTCCATTTCTGTGGGAAACTGATCAAAAGTGACACGTGTTAACTGGAAGTTCATTTTTATAACTTAGGAAATTGCTCCCAAAAGGGAACTGATCAAAAGTGACACGTGTTAATTGTAAATTTATTTTTATAATTTTTTACCACTTAAGAAAGGTCAATTAAATGTATTTTTCTACTTTATTTTATTGGACAAATTTATTGAACGTTATAATATCTGATTAGTTTTACTTTCTGCATTAGTAACCTAAATAAGGTAAACAACATAAATTTCACTTGTTAATAATTTAATTATGTGCTTTTTCGTGAGTATTTTTGAAAGTACCGTTCATGTAAAATTATGGTCCAAATATACATGCATTTAGGATAAATGGGGTTCATAATTAGTTGTAATTTATTCTGGATATAAAATATTTAAGTGTATTTGCAAGGATGATCTGACTCGTTCACCTACCTCTTTCCCTATTTGTATTTCAAAATATAACTGAGAGAAAAAATACATGTATCTAGGTGTATTTAATTTGAGGTCTGATATTAAATTATTAATTTATGAGACAATGTGTATTTATTTCAAACTATAAGAAGAAGAATTAGTTAATAAGGTATGAATGTTTGAGCTGCTGCACTCCTTGCTACCTATATTTAGCTAAGGTGGTTCTTCTCGCCATGTTAAGAAATTTTATTTTTCAACCAGCGAGCTTGGATTGTAAGTTCCCTATATTGAAATGGAAGACGCTTGTTTAAGAATTAGGATGTAGGGTTTAGATAGATTAAGAGATAAGAAAGTGTATAGGTTCGTCAAGTAAAAGAGAGGAGGATTCAAGAGTATTAATAGATACACATGCATAAAAGGGAGCTAAATCTAAGATTAGAAACACATACCAACATATCGATATTTATATAATATATAGAACAGAAAAGTGATAAAAGATATATTTTTTATCATCATCATCAACTACTAATAACATTTTTGTTAATTTCAATTTTTTCAGCTTTTTCGAATACATAATTAAATAATGTTAAATTAGGTCTTAGACCTAACTCATACCCCAAAAATTAGGTCTAGGTGAATATTTTTTCTTAGGTAAGTACATGAATTAAGGTTTTCCCCCTTTTAATCTTAAACTAAAGAACATGAAGAGGTGCAGCTAAATCAATATATACCATTACCAAATATGAACGTTCTTCCACTAGTACTTCTACGTTCTCCTATGGTAAAGTTCCTTCTTTACTCCTCATTTCCCACCTTCTATTGTTTGTTTATAAGATCTTCATCATTTATATCTTTTGAAATTAGTCTATGACCTGAGAGTAACAGTAAAGTGTATCGCAAGTTTGACATCTTCCCTTTATTTAGGAACACTGAAAAGAATTTTGAGGAAAATGAATTCATAAGGTTAGAAATATCAAGTATGACTTCTACATTATACTGCATTGACTAAGTTTGATTATATGATACTGATATGAATCAAATTCATTTCATTCAACATTTTTGTGTTTTTTTTTGTAAATTATATTTGGAAGGTTTGGTTCGTTGCTTTAAAGTTATACACAAGATCGATCTAATAATATAATATTATAATTTCATACTTAATTTTTAAGGAAGAAAATAATAAGATGAATTTACTGAGGTTAAGTTGGTATTACATTTTAAAATAATATTTATTTAACTTTATAAAATTTTTTACTTGTTGATGTATGTGGTACACGCACAACGCGCATGCCCAAAAATTAATAAGATATAACAACCAACCCAATATATACTCTTTTTAAAAAAACAAAAAATCATTCGCTTGTGATATCCCTAGCATGTACAACTAACAACATATATTATATATTAACAAAAAATATTATCAGACTTAACAAAATATAAAATTCTAACTCAAAAACTAAACTTCGAATTTGGTGCAAGTTTTTTGGGGGCTTTTATAAAGAAAACAACTAATATTAGGTGTTTCACGTATTTCAAAGATTAGCAAGAATTAATCACTCTTTAAGTTGAAGAAATAACTTTAAAACCCTTTAAAAAGTTAAACTGCAAAACCTTAAATCCTTAATTAACATATAAATATTTAAAATCTTAACCAATTAAAAAAAATGAAAAGCAATTATAATGATAACTTAATGTGAAATTAGGCGTATGAGGAAAACTCTAAGTTAAGTTTATATTTGTCAAGTTCATTAACCACGATTTTTTTTCCTAGATAGCATATCAAATACTAATAAAACATACAAATAAATGAAAGTAAAAAGTACATTTAACACTTTCTTATTACAAATAATAAAATTAAAAATTAAAATAAAAAATCTGATATTAAATTGATTTGCTTAAATTATTTCTCTAGACAAGCAGATGAGTCCATTTGAACCCTAAATAAAAAAGGTTAAGGTCACCAAACAATTTATCTTTCCACTCATTTGTTATCCAGAGTGTCCAAAATGAAATGTTTTAGCTGTTAACAAAGATAACTATTCTAATGCATACAATCGTTTCTCTAACATAAAATGTTAGAAAGTTCGAGTGAGCGCTAAATCATTATCTATATCATCAAAAAGATTTACAAATAACCCTGATCATTGTGATTAGAGCAAAGCAGAATCTTCTAAGAAAAAGCCCATGTAATTGGGCATGAAACGAATAATGAACTTGGTCTTTGAGCAGTCCCTTATGTGGATAAGTATATTATGTATTTTTTAATGATATTTTTTTCTATAACCCCTATGAAATAGAATTATTGTTTTTTATTTTTTTATAACATTTTAATTTCATTTTTCCAAAAGACTTATACAATAATATTTTGATACATTTGACATAATTTTAAATTAGGATCATAAAATTAAAAAAGTTATTTTATTTCTTAAATTTCATATCAAGTCAAATTAGATCATTCTTTTTTAAATAGAGGGAGTAATTCATCTACTCTAAAAGGGGACAAGAACCTAAGGCTTTCCTACTGCAGAAATATTCTGTTGAATAGAAACTGTTTTTTGCTTCCAATTACGCCAAAAATGGTGATGCATAGCATTACAAAACAAGCGGTATGCCTGGAAAAAACTTTATTATCTTAGATAGGAGGAACTTAGTCTTGTAAAAAAACAAAAAGAAAGATGAAATAACAACAACAATATCAAAGCTAATGCCTTTTTGGGAATAATAGCCATTGAAGTCATTCGGTACAACAACAAAAGGAAAAATTACATAACAACGATATTAGACCTAATACAGTTTTTTGGGCAATAGCCATTGTCACTACAAAGCTTAATTAATTAGGATCGACATTTATAAGCCTTAAAGGGTTTTCAACATCACCTCCACCAGCATGTTTAACAAATTTGGCTGGTGACAGAAAATAACCATGACAAATACAAACAATCTTCACTTCTCCTCCCCTCTTATATGCGTATAAAAATCCTTCAGTCTTCTTTCCATTTGGTCCATCACCTTTAGTGGAAACACCAGGCATTTTGAGCAAGAATTTTCTGAGTCCCTCTTTTGTCGAAAAGTTGGGTGATTGCTCATTAGTAGCTTCAATGGCTGCTAATACCAGATGCTGCATTTGCTCCAATGTGCCACTGACTAGAGGTATCGCATTAGAACTACCAGATGCACCTTCAATGAAAGTTCCATCAACTGAAGGAAAAAAAATATTTCTTAGTTTTAGACAAAAGAAAATTAATTGAACAAAAAATAATGAAAATGGAGAAATTATTTAAATGGAACAACTCAATTGAATTTTCGATCACCTTGATTAGGTAGGTGTTGTTGAGTTTGAGAACTAGTTCTAGCTAAACCAAAACTTCCTACAGATCCAGATCCACTAGGTGACGGCAAAGAAGAGGTTCCATTCCCTTCATTTTCCTCAACAACTATAACATTCTTTAGTTTATCCCATCTATTCTGCTGCGTGTCCCCACGCGTCTGTGTCTGGAGGTCCCTCCTTTCCTTCAAGTCCATCCCAGTCTCCATTGGAGGCAACGAAGCCTTCCTATTAACATAAAATGGATCACTCATTTTCCCCCATTCTGTTTGAGTCTCCATTGGCGGCATGGAAGCTGCCCTCGTCACAGAAAATGGACCACTGATTTGCCTCCATTCCGTATCAGTCTCCATTCTACGCCTGCACTCAATTTCAGTCTCCATTCTTCGCCTCCAATCCATTTCAGCCTCTAACCTATTCCTCGACTCAATTTCAGTATCCATTCTTCGCCTCCAAGCCATTTCAGCCTCCAACCTTTTCCTCCACTCGATTTCAATATCCCTCGGCAAAGAAGATGTCCTGGTCAAAGAAAATGGATAATTTTGTTGCCTCCACTCCATTTCAGTATCCATAGGCGGCAACAAATTCCTTTGCCTCCAGTACTCCATTTGAGTCTCCATCGGAAGATCTAATTTTAAGTCTACACTTACATCCTCTACAATCTTTTTTCCTTTGTCTTGATGATTAGCTTTCTCCATTTTAGCAAAAGCTGAAAGAATCGACAAAGCTATTGAATTTCAAACTAAACAAACTTAATAGGAAAAAAAACTCTATAAAAGTATGAAGTTGATTTTCAATGATGAATGATGGAAGAAACCTTCAGATGTGTAGGAGGTTATACAGGAAAACAAGTCAAGTATGAAAGTGGAAAAAACGTGAAGGAATCTTATTTCTGTGGGTTAAGTGAAAAATAACAAAATAGCCCCTTGCTACGTGGTATAAGGAGGGACTTTGGGAATTGATCCAAAAATACTATCCGTTAAAATTATCTATTGAGAAAAAAAATCAAACTTTACACGTGTCTGAAAAATCACTGCATGAAATTTTGTGAAAAGTTTTCACTTTCACACTGCGGATATGAAAATTATTATTTATGCATTTTTGAAAGTTTTTTTTGGGCAAATTTTATCAGAAATGTTATATTAACTTAGGGCAAATTTTATTAAAAGTTATATCATCCAATTATTTTAACTCACGGAATTATTGTTTGCTTTTAAGTTTTCATAGTTTAAAATGTAAGAGGATTGTTCATTTTATTTCTTTATAGTTAACATTATTTTTAAGGAGGTTTTTTTACTACTTCACAGATTTATTAAATATAAAAAAATAATGTGTACTCGAAATTTAGTTGTAGCTCTGATATGGACTCAAAACACTAAGTAGGAGACAAAAACAAATATATCTATTAACAATAGGTGATTTTGAGTTAACAAGTAGACAATCATCTGAGTTGTATTTTTTAGTTTTAAGAAAAAAAGTAAAAGTGTTTTGATTGATTCTTGAATGTCAAAATAATGATTTTATTACTTTGAGTTTCTGTCATTTTTAATTTTTCGTTCGCCTTTTCTGAAAATCACTAATTGTATTACGCTTAATTTAAGCTTCTTTTTTTTTTCTGATTTATTTGTTATCTACATTTTTAAGTTATTCTTTCTTCTGTGTTGGAGATCACTAATGTTATGATATTGTATCAACGCATATAATAATATTATCAACGCGTATAATACTAACTTAAAATATATGTATAGATAGATATTAAACAACTGATCATTGGGCTTATTTCTTTTTAAAAATATTAAAAATAGAAGACGATGAAATAAGGTCATTATTATAAGCTCTGTTAATGATAATTTCAATGTTATAAACCAATTGAGAATATTAAGTTAAGTGTTTAGTGTTCATAATAAAATCCAACACAATGAGTCACTTTTAATTGAGGCAAGTGAATCACCAAGCGAATCAATCTATCTTCGTGATGTGAATTTCTTAATTCATATATTTCGACTTAAATAGCAACATATTTAATATTTTCATAAGTATTTCGAGAAGGATATAATACACACGAAACTTATTTTTATATTTACGTGATAAAAAATTATTTCTGATAAATCGAAAAAGAAAAATTCAAAACATATGTATAAAAACCAAAATATCAATTATTCAAAACATTTGTTTCATTAGTACTCTTTCATTTTGATATTTGAATAATGAGAAAAGAACAACAAAAAAAAAGTACAATATGATTTTATGTTTATATATATATATATATATATATATATATATAATAAAAATAATAATAACAAAACCCCATATGCTTATAGTTTGTTCAAATAAAATAATAATAATACTTTGGATTCGTGATGTTTTATGATTGGTACCGTACTCAACTTATTCTTTCTTACATGTTATCTTCATTGAACACATCCATTTTAATTCTTATATATTCAGTTGACTGAATTCTTATAATAATAATAATAATAATAATTAATATTAACAGAAGTTGTACTAATTTTCTAAATATAAATATACAATTCAAAAACATGTCTCATCATACTAATTGTTTCTCACCGAAGATTTTTGGTAAAGCAATTCTCAAAATTTGGCAAAACACTTTTTAGTTGCTACTTAAAAAGTATTTTTTAAATTGGTTGATCAAAAAATTTTTTTTCTCTCATAAGATTTTCCTTTTTAGAAAAACACACTAGAAAAAATGTTTTTTTTTAAAAAATTAATAAATTTTAATAGTTTGATCAAACATCGAATGAAACCCTTTCTCCTTATCCCTTTTTTATTTTACTATTGTAACTTATTTTGTAGGTATTCCTACAAGCTCAAATCGATCAATCATGATTTTAATGACGTTCCAATAGTTCCGCAGTTTTAGATTTATACAACTAACAAACAACCACAACAATCAACACCACCAGACTATCGTTTTCGTGATGCTTTGAGGTTGTGGAGTTAAGGAGAGTTTTCATTTTTTATTGCTTTTTAAAACTTTAATTTTCCTTACTCGCGTGTTGCTTTCGTTATTATTTTTTTTAATTTCAATTTTAGGGTGAACAAATTTTCTTTTAAGTAATTTAGAGATAGAATAGATCGATATGGTAGTTCAAGTGAGTAACTAAATTTTCAAAGAAAATCAATGCCTTTTCCTAATTTAATTATAATAAAGCGTGAGAGGGAAAAACCTCGTGACATGAGTTGTATGAAGGTGAACTTGCATGTGTGGTCTCAGGAGGGAGTGCTAGTATGAAGAATCCCATTATAGTATAGTATTTTTTTTAAAAGAATAAGGAATTTTTTTAAAAATAAAATATATACCTCTATTTAGAAATTGAGTTAGGTTTAGAAAAATAGAAGTGGAAACTTTGTAAGTTAGAAAAATAATATTCACTTGAAAAACTTATTAAAATTACACTTTTGAACTTGAAACTTATTTTGTGATTTTTTTTCTGAAGAAGGTTCAATAATAACCAAATATTATTAGAAAACTTACAGAAATTTTATTAGTTAATTTTGAGTAAAATATTTAGATACATTTTGGTTTGTAATAGTACAAATTTTATTAAATTTTGATGCGTCAATATATAACTACATACATATCTCTCGTGATAAAAGGATATGTATAGTTTATTCTATATACCTTTTGATGAATATTCAACATGTTAATTATTCTAACATATTTCTTATGATAATTAAATGTCCTAAATAGTCTTATTTGACTTTTATTTATGCTCCTCCCTATTTATAATACATATATTAATTATGAGTCATTTCCTTACAAAAAAATTCTAAATTAATTTGGAAATACCACTTTATTTACATTAATTTTATACATTGAATGCCGACTTTTTTTTAAAAAAATTCAATTTACACCCTATATTTGTTCCTTTTTATGTGTTCGGTAGTAGATGATGGATACACCAAGTAATGAATCTTTTTAAAAATATCTGTGATGAAGTATTTTGTGTAAGATTTTGACGATTTTAAGAATATTTATATAAAAATCAGTCACATATGCAAAAAATAATATAAAAAATAGCAGCGCAACACAATATGCAATTAATAATATATGTATTAACAAATAATTATTTGATTTAGCAAGAAATGAAAATTCTAACTTCTACAAATAAACTTAGAAATATCTAAAATAGTCTAGACCTACCTAACACATAAATAAAACAACTAAAAATTCTAAGTTTTTCAAGATTTATCAACAAATTAAAATTCTAAGTAAAAATATATAACTTAGTAATCCTTAAAACGCTAACCCCAAAATTTTAATTAACACATGAATACTACAATTCTTACCAGAAGAACCAGAATATACATAATCAAAGAGGGATAACATATATATTAACATATAATTGTCAGCTTTAGCAAGAAATAGATACTCTAACTTGGAAAATAGACGTAGAAAACCTTAAAGCAAGCAGTTGATAGCGAATCCTAACACATTAAGAAAACAACTTATATCACGTGTTTCAAAGTTTAGCAAGAAATGAAAAACTTGTAGTCGAAAAATAACAAAAGAATCCTTTAAAAAGTTTAACCCCAAATCCTAATTAGCACATTAATATTTCAAATTCTTACAAGAGAAGAACAAAACTACACATAATCGAATAGAGATAATTAGAAAATGACATTTTTACAATATTAATTAGTCGATTTAAAAATAAATGATATTCGCCTCGTGATATTCACTCATAGACAACTCTTCTCCTTTCTCATGTTGAGGAACATGCGAAATGCTTTTTACAAATAGGTTGAAATTAAATGCATTATTTAGTTTAGTGGCTCGATATCGAATTTTAAAATAATAGAATAAGGGATCAATATTTGTAATTTGTGTAGAATAGAAACTGTTAATTGCTTCTAATTAAGATTAAAAAAAGAAGCACCGATTAGCAAACAAACAATCTGAATGATTGGAAAAAAACCTTACTATAACTAATGGAAGGAACTTTAATTTAGTCAGTACAACAACAAAAGGAAAGATGAATTAAACTTTAAAAAATACGCATCAAAAGAAGCCGAATGACTGCAAAATAACCTTAATATAGCTTTGATGGAAGGAACTTTAGTCAGTACAACAACAAAATGAAAGATGAAATAACAACGATACAAAAACTACTGCCTTCTTGGGAAATAACCTTTGAATTATACGGCACAACAACAAAATAAAGGATCAAATAACACCGATATTAAGTCTACTTAATTTGTTTTCCTTCAATAAATATATGTTCTAAAGGGTTTACTACGTCACCCCCACCAGCATGTTTGACAAATTCATCTGCATTTAGAAAATTGTCATGACAAAGATAAACTATCTTTACTTCATCTATCTCCTTACACGAGTATAAAAGTCCTTCAATCTTCTTTCCTTTCGGTCCTTCACCTTTTGTGTAGATATTAGCCATATTGTTGAGCACGAAGTTTTCAAACTTCTCTTGAGCAATATTCTCCTCTGAATACACAAGTTATTTCTATTCAATTGAATATGATTTCACCTCGTGAACTATAGGTAAAAGTATAAATTATTTCCCACTTTAATTTTGGTACGAATTAAAATTGACTAGATTTATATAATCATTTCGTAAAATCTTGATGCCTTGAGTAGGTGATTGTTGGATTTCGACCTCAGCTACACTTGAAGCAACACATCCTTGCGATTCACCTGGAAACATCAAAAAAT